AAAAAAAAAAATTTGACCCTTCCTGACCCGGCCTCTGTAGATGTGCGAGGGCATGAAGCAAACGAAAAAAAAAAAGATAACTCTGGGCGACGGGGAGGAACTTTTCTGCGGGTACCCTGTCATGTCGTGTCTCTCTGTGTGTGTGTGTGTGAGTGCAGCATCCATGGGGCGTGGGGTGCGGGAAGAAAAGAAAAAAAAAACATCAACAGCAAAATAGAGAATCAAACGAAGAAGGTCGAGTTCCATTGATTGTCTTCCTTTGATATATTGCACGTTTACCTATGGGCGCTGTTTTTTTCTGCATATATATACATACATATATATATGTATAGTTCGCGCGTCTATTCTTAGTGTTACTCCTTGCTTGTTTGGTTTAAGATCCTGCTCCGCAGCGCTACCGTGTTTTTTTTTTTTTAATATCCCTTCGTCTTTCTCTGCACAGTACACTCAGAAACACGCACAAAAACTCGCAACATCGTTCACGCATACACCTTCAGATTCTTAAATACCTCCCTGCTTTGCACACTGTTCCACATATGGTTTACTGCGGCCGCTCTCACAAGCCACACTGAGAAACTTGCTATCACACCGTTCTTGCCTCTCCGTCCACCGCTCAGTTCGCTCGCTCTCGCCTTTGGCTTGCGGCGTGAGCCTCGCTGGACTTCTACCTCGTCAAGCAACAGCTGTCATAAAAGAAGGTTCTGGAAAGAAGAAAGCAAAACGTATTGATTCACCGCACAAAAACAAAAAAGGAAAATGCCAGCCGCCAGCGTCGACAAAATGAATGGCATCGGCATGCCCATTCTCTTCATCATTACACTCTTTGCAACGTTATTCGCCACACGGCACTTGGTGGCCAAAGCTGTCCGGTACGCCTACAGTGACACTGTAACTATGCTGTGCTTCTCTGCTGCTCTCACAAATATGGCGCTTTCCATCTTTCTATACTTCACCACTGCGTTTAACTATGGCCTAGTGACAACAGTTCTGGCATACTGCGTTGCTTTTATGAACAGTAACGAGAACTTCAAGCAACATATGCCACACCTCCTTGCAGTACATCTTGTGTGGTTCCTTGTTCTCGTTGGTATTCCCTCGAGTCTCAATCACGGAATCATCAATGCCACAAACACAGGCGACTGCGTGGCTTTTTATGCCACATTTGCATCCACTATGTGCGTAGAGGGTTGGCTGACGTTTATAAAGATCGTTGCCTGTATTATAACCTGCTTCACTTTGTTTTCTGTACTTTTATTGGCATCTGAGGTTCTGGCGATGCTTCAGACAGGGCGGCGAAGGACAGAGATCTCGGCAAACCAAGTGCAGGCGCAAGCCTGAAAATCGCAAAACGGTTATTGGCATAAATATCACATGCACAAGTAGTCACTCTACAACAAGCAGTAGAGATGGCGTCCCGCGAGAATATTGCACATGAAAGCCAAAAATTATAAAGAAACGTGGGACTCTCGTTTTGATCGGTAAGAGCTGTCTGTGCTTTGCTAATGAGCAGAAAAGAAACAATGGGTGACAAGTGTGCTTGCTTGGCACGGGGGAAGGTGTTGTGGAAGCAGGGAAAAAAAGAGCAGAGACGATTCATATGCGTGCTGATTCATTCACGCCATTCCTCTTGTGACTGCATGTGTGACCACTGTGCGAATTAAGGCTTCTGCCACGCCACACGCCAATCTGTGAGCACATGTGCGTAGACACACATGCACGAAGAAAAAAATGTTTCCTTTTTTCCTCGCGGGGTTAGTTAGTGGCCGTAAAAGGAAGAGATATCAACCACACCATAGGCGGTGACGAACCCCGGGAGCATAGCAATAGAGACGAAAATACAAAAAAAGCGGGGCGATGACCAAGGAAGACCCGACACAGCCGGCAAACGCTTTAGGAGACAACTGCGTAGACGCTTNTATCGCCGATGAAGGCGACGACAACACGCGCGACGCCGGAGACGGGAACGGGAACGGGCCTGTATTCACACCAGCAGCCGGCCGCGTTGACGTGCATCCGCTCGTTCTGCTTTCCCTTGTTGACCACTACTCCCGCATAAATATCAAGGCGGCGCAGAAGCGCCGTGTGGCGGGCCTGTTGCTCGGCCGCCATAAGCGTCTTCCAGACGGGACGCAGGTACTGGACATAAACAACAGCTTTGCCGTGCCGTTTGACGAGGACCCGCACGACCAAGATGTGTGGTTTGTCGACACCAACTACGCGGAGGAGATGTTCTACATGTTTCGTCGTGTGCTTCCAAAGGTGCAGGTTGTGGGCTGGTACTCCGCTGGCCCGTCGTGTGCCGTGCAGCCGAACGACATGCTGCTCCACCTGCTTGTGGCTGACCGCTTTGTTGCGAATCCCGTGTACTGCATCGTGAATACGGACCCCAACAACAAGGGTGTCCCTGTGCTTGCGTACACAACGGTGCAGGGCCGCGAGGGGACACGCTCGCTGGAGTTCCGCAATATCCCGACGCACCTGGGCGCGGAGGAGGCGGAGGAGATTGGCATCGAGCATCTCCTGCGCGACCTGACGGACTCGACGATCACGACGCTCTCCACACAGATACAGGAGCGGGAGCTCTCGCTGGCCCACCTGAGCCGGGTCCTGCAGTCCATCGAGGACTACTTGAACGACGTCGCCGGGGGCCTTATGCCTATTTCTGAAGACGTGCTGAGTGTGCTGCAGGAGGTGATCAGCCTGCAGCCGCACATCTACCACCTCAAGACGTCGACGGAGATGGTCCGCCACTCGAACGACCAGGCCATCGCCATGTTCATTGCTGCTATCGGGCGCTGCGTGGGCACACTCTACGACGTCATTGCGAACCGGCGCCGCATCACACGCGAGATACAGGAGGCAAAGGCGAAGCGCGAGCAGGCGCTGAAAGAGAGGCTTGAGAACGAGAGACAAAAAGCGAAGGAGGCTGCTGCTGAGGACAGCAAGGTCGAGCCAAAGAATGTGAAGAACGATGGTGGCAAAGATGGAGCTGGCGCAAGCTGAGTGAGTGGGACGAATGTGATGCACGAACTCTTTGTGGACTCTAGACGACGNACTGGTTGCGGAAAGGGCTGTCCCATTTTTGCTTTGCTCTCATGCGCTCATCATGTTTTTTGTCGTTGCTTTGGTTCTCTTTCTTTTTTTTCTCTGATCAGGCAATAGCCACTTCATTACATGCTTACTAGCAGAATGAGACACTGCGCGCCTCCGCGGTTGCCGATGTTCGCACCGCCTCGTCTCGGCCGGTGCGTTGCGGCGACGTGTGTTGCTCTTGCCATTACCGCCACCCCGGTGCTCGCGGCGGAGGCACCGGACGTCATGAACGGCATCGGAATGCCAATTCTCTTCATTGTGATGATTATGCTGATGCTCGTTGTGTCGCGGGCGCGTTTATTAGAAGCCTATCGTGTGTCCCGGAATGACACGGCGACGTGTATATGTTTCGTTGTAGCCCTGATAAATATGTTGATTTCCGTTTTCCTCTACTTCTCCACTGCGTACAACTACGGCCTCGTGACGACGGTGCTAGCGTATTGCATGGCATTTCTGACGGAAAATGGCTCTTACGGATTAAATGCCAAGTGGCTGCTGGCGGTGTACCTGGTGTGGTTTTTGTTCCTCTTAGGCTTTCCGTCTGCGTGGGGCCCTGGTATCATCATTGCAACAAACAACAATAGTTGTGTGGCTTTTTATAGCACATTTGCGTCGACAATGTGCAACGATGGCTGGCTGACCTTTATTAAGTTTGTTGCCTGCATTGTGGTGAGTCTCACACTGCTTTCTGTGTTGCTGATTATTGCTGTGGTGATGGGTGTAGAGGATGATCTCCTTGAAGCTCCTCTCCTGGGTGATGCTGAAGGTGTGCGAGGGGCAATGGACACGGAGACTACAAAGGGTAATGCTTCGCAAGAGACTTATCGTCGTATTTAGTTAGGCTGTGTAGGTAAGAGGCAACATACCTAAGTAAAAAAAAAGCTGGAGGAGCTTTGTTTGGGTATGTGTGTAGACGTATTTCATTATTTTTCTTTTTGTGTCGATAGGTGCCGTTATTACTGGAGATCATCTGGCAAGTGTTAGATGCGTCCAGTGTTTGTGTCCTTTTGATGGGGTTCTAGGTGTTAAGAAAGTGGATGAGAGAATGAGGTGGAATGCGTAGTTGATGCTGAGGCATTTTTATTGGTCGTATACACTGCATGTGCATACTTCTTTACTTGTTGCATAGTCTTTTTGAAGACACTTGTTTGCCCCTTTCACAGCGGGGCTACAAAGGACGGGGAATTCAAGTTAGCGCCAAGAAAAATAAGATAAGAAAGGTGACTCTGGTGGTGGTGAAGGAAGGACTTACACACACACACACACACACGCACACAGAGGTACGCACAGAGGATATTTACCCTCACATTGTTTGATACATTGGAGGGGCGGGTGTCAGTCAGAGCGCACTATAAACAAGAGGACGATTGCAATTAAAGGAGGAAGGAACGAGTATGATCGTTGAGGGTCACCATTACGAACCGGTTGCGTACGGCGGACAAAACACGCAGGGCGGCGGCGCTGCCCCTATCGTTTGCAGCTGTACGTCTGGTACCTGCGCAGCCACTGCGGGTGGTGATGCACCGTCGTGTCGCTGTGGATCCCTTTTAAGGCGCCCGCCGTGTTGTTGCGAGACGCTTCGCGAGGCTGCGACAGTGGAAAATCAACATATATATAATCAACAGCAACCACAGAGGGAAGGGGAGGATGGGCAGCTGTCGCAGCGTTATGCGTCTTCATCTCGTCGTTGCTTCTGCTGCGTACCGGAGCGGGAGGAATTACAGGAGTGCGAGCGGTTGGAGAAGGAGCATCGGTATCGATCGAGGCGCGCGGAGCGACAACAACTTCAAAAGGCACTCTACAATGATATGTGGAGTGGCGAGGCGCCGCGTTGCGGCCATGATCCGAGTCACTGCTACCGACCTAACACCGCTCACCTCCTGCGGTACTCGCAGAGGTCGTTCTACCAACGCGCTGTCGCAATGGAGCAGGATCGGCGACGGCAGGATTTGCGGAAGGAGATTGAGGCGAAGAGGCGCGAGCTGAGCCTTCGGGGCTCAATGCGGCAGCCAATCTGTGGCTCGATGGCGTCTGACGGCGCTGTGCGCACCGTGGCGATATGTCAACCAAAGCGCGGGCGACTGGTCACGCGCGCTCCTCTCGTCATCTGTGGGTCAGAAAACCTGCAGCAGCACGCACGACACCACCACCCTGGTAGGGCAGCCCCGGCGCCCCGAGGCGGCGATGACTGCGACAGCAGTTCTGGCCGCCAACAATTGCGTCCCCGAAAGCACGACAAGGGAACGATGGCAGTTATGCAGAGGAGCAGCGCTATTCCCGCTGCTGGTAACGACGATTCTCGAGCCGTCAAATCTGCTGCTGATCCTGCTGCTGCTGCTCCGTGTCTTTCCTCACGTTGCAGGTGTGGCAACGGGCAAGAGATGAAGTCCCCAATGTCGCCCCAGCGCTGTGACTGTGTGTGTTGCCGCTGCAAGCCTTGTAGCTGCCGATGCATGAAGCCTGGTGTGGCCCACTCCGCAGATGTCATGGCCGCCATTGCGCAACAGTCAGCAACCGCACCGTCTGCACCACCGAAAGCGGTGGAAAAGAGGGAAGTTCCTGTGCCTCGTCGAGCTGTCTCAACCATGACGACGCGAAGGCCAGCATCACTGTCATCGCGCTCGCACCCCATTGCCGTCGAATACGGCAGGAAAATCTACATAACAGACGACGCATATGTGGAACGCCGATCGCAAGTTATCGAACGACTGGAGCGGGACGGATATTTGCGTTGCCTCAACCCCAGTACACGTAGCCCGAGTGCGCCACTGCCGGAGAAGACGCGCAGGTGGACAACCACTCGTAGCACTAGTGCCCACCGGGTATGAGTTGTGGGTATAGAAACAGAACGACATGGGCGGTGCTTTGTTTGTTCTTTTTTGTTACATTTTGTACTTCCAACATTACTGTACCCTTTTTCATCTGTTTCTCCTTTTTCCACCCTTTTTGATGTTCTACTATCTCGGAATGTTCACTTCTTTCTGACGATTGTGGTCCTTGCTAACTAGGCCGAAGTATTCTCTCGCTCTATTGCTGCTTTTTATTCCCCCGTTTATCCTCGGTACTATTTCTTTCGTCATTTGTTTTTTTTTTATCTTTAGTAGGTCGCGTGCCACCCGCTCTAGGCGCTCTAAGGCTGGGGCGTAATACATGCGTAGTGCTGACCATGTAGGCGTATGATTCCTTCCTTGGATTCAGAAACGATATCGCGTACGGCGTGTTGTGTGGTCCTGCCGTAACCCTCTGCTGCTCTCCTTTTCTGTGCCTTTGAGTACCACAGGGACAAATCGCCGCTGCGGCTGATTTTGCTGGGCACATTCTTTCGAGTAAACGTATGTCTGTATGCATGGCATGTATATGCGTGCGCTCGTTTGTGTGGCGGCTTCCTGCGCGGCTGTGGGTGACCCGAACACCACGTTCGTTCCTTTTTTTATTCTATGAGTGTGACGATTCAATCGAAGAGAAAAGGAAGGGATGGGGGTGGGATAATAAATTGTGCAACAGGTAAAACGCGAGTGAACGTTTAGATCTCTCTCTTTCCCTCTCCCTCTATCTCTGCCAGAAATCATTCATAAGGGCGTGGCACACTGCGCACAACTCTAAAGAGGACGATAGTAGAGGAAGGAAGTTGGCCAGGCAGAGGGAAGACGCTGAAATCATCGCAAATACCAAAGGGAAGTAAGTGTGCCACACGAAGGAAAACAACAAGAAGAAATTAAAACGACAGTTGGACAAGATGACTGATCGCGCAGGTGGTGTGACAACGAAAGGTGTCCACCTCATCGGCGACGATGGACACCTGCTCCCAGAGGAGAGCATCCATGACTTCTTGCTTGCTTCACTTGGCAAGGGACAGAAGAGCGATGTTCTGCATCGTGTTGGTGTCAACTACCACGTCGTGGCAGTATTTGGTGGGCAAAGCAGTGGGAAATCGACGCTGCTGAACTGTCTCTTCCGCACGCAGTTTGAGACGCTCAACGAGACTCAGCGGCGCGGGCAGACGACAAAAGGGGCTTTCATCGCACGCGCAGCGATAGAAACCCTACAGGCGGAAGATGAGCGGCCAGCAGAAGCAGCAGCAGCAGCAGTAGCAGAAGAAGCACCAGAAGCAGCAGAAAAAGAAGTAGAACCGATGGCCGGCGCATCGCCGCCACTCTTCGTTGTGGACTTCGAGGGCACCGACGGTATTGAACACGGTGAGGATCAGAGCTTTGAGCGAAAACTGTCTCTCTTTGCCCTCAGCGTTGCTGACACGCTCATCATTAATATGTGGTCCGTAGATGTGGGCCGCTTCAACGCCGCTAATATGAGCCTCCTGCGCACCATCTTTGAGGTGAACCTGCAGCTGTTCTCGCACGACAGCTACGTGAAGGAGGAGAAGCCAACACTGCTCGTGGTGCTGCGTGACTTCACTGAGGACGACACAACACACTACTTTGAAACTGTAAGAAAGTCGTTCGACAAAATCTGGAGCAGTATTGTCAAACCGGAGGCTTTCAAAGAGAGCAGCATCGATGCACTCTTTGAGCTGCGCTACCACGTGCTCCCGCACTACAAGCTGCAGCGGGCTGCGTTCGACAAGGCGGCTACGGCCTTTCGCGATTGGTTTGTCGCGCCGAAGTGTGATAACTTCTTGTTCCGTCACATGGGCATGTTCCGTGGCGTCCCCCTCGACGGTGTGCCAAAGTATATGTCGAGCTGCTGGGAGGTTATCAGTAAGAGCAAGGACCTTGATATCCCGACACAGCGTGAGATGCTGGCGCGACACCGCTGTATTGACGCAAGAAAAGCAGCAGAAGATGCTTTTATGGAGACCTGCAGAGAGTACGGGGAGCGGCTGCAGCAGGGTGAGCTTGTGCCGCAACTCTCGGCGGTGCTGGAACGTGCAATGGACGACCGGCTGCGTGACTTTCACTCACAAACAAGGTTGTACACTGTCAGTGTCGTTCAAGAGACATCGGTACAATTGGAGGAGGAGCTCCTCGCTGCGGAGCTGAAGCTGCTTTGGCAGTACGCACGGACGATAGCAACTTCAGTGCTTGAAGAGATGGACACGACGATTGCCGGTGCCGTTGATGGGACAGTGCGATGGCTGCTGCAGGAGGCACAATCACTGCCGCTTGTTAGTGCGCAAAAAGGATGTGGAGGTAAGGATGAGTTTGGCGACAGTAGCAAAGGTAGTTCTGAGACGAGGCGCAATAACGCTGTGCTTGCTGACAATGAAAAATGTAATGCGCTTGTGCAGCGCTTCTGGGCGAGGCTCTGCCACACACTGCAGACCAATACAGAGGTTCTCTATCAACACCACCATCAGCAGCAAAGTCAACAGCCACCCACAAGGCTTTACGCCCGCTTCGCCGCTTTTGTTGCGAATGATGTGGCTATGAAGGAGGCTGTAGCGCACGCTGTGATGGACGCAGTTCAGCAGAAGGTATGCCACCGTTTTTCATCGATGGCAGAGAATGCGTCGGAGACTATTCATCAGGCATTTGAGCAGAGCCTCACTCGTAGACCCGATGGAACAGTGCGATTCTTCAACACCACAAAGGGACTGCAGGGAGCTGAACCACAGTCACGTCAAGCTGGCCTTGTCCTGCTTGGTTGTTTGCTGTATTACCGCCTGAAACTCGTGATAGGTGAGGAAAAGGGAAATGAGACGATCAGTAGCGATGACTCCGGACGCGCAACCGCAAAACTGCTTTGCGAGCGCCGCAGGTTGCATGTCCGCGACAATAGTGCCGAGCAGAAGTTTTTCCTTTTTTATTCAAGAATTTCCGATCCTCCACTCTATCCTACGGGAGTGCCGGTGGTGACGGCCGATTCTGGGGTAGTGTCGGACGGCGTTGCGGATGGGTCGTGTGTGCTGCTCAGTCAGCAGGCGGTGCAGCGCGCATTTGACCTGTACACGCAGAAGTGTGAGTTTACGATGCAGCTGCAGCTCCGCACCATTGAGAGCGGGAAACAAAGACTACCGGCGTGGGTGTTGCCGGTGATGTTGCTGCTGGGGTGGAACGAGTTGTACTATGTCCTCACATCTCCGCTGCTGCTGATGATCCTCATTGCTGTGGTGATGGTGTTCTTCAGGCATGTCATCCTCTCGCAGTGGGAGGTGTTTGAAGAGACAGGTCCGGCTTGGCTCGTGGTGGCTGTTCGCACTGTCGTTCAGCAGCTGCGGGGTGCGTACGAGACGATGATGCCGCCAGAGCTGAACAATCGAGACGGTGCCTCTGTGCGACACCGTGACCCGACCGACATGAACGATGTCACTCCTACTATGACTACCTCCGCTGATTCTGCTCCTGAAATGCCACATTCTTCTCTCACGCGACGCGTGAATAAGGAGCAGACGAGTGGGGGATATTGATGAGCGGGATACGTAGGATAAAAAGTGGAAGGTTCAACGGCAGAGGAAACGTCGGAGGCGCGTAAAAGAAAAAAAAGTGCCACACAGACTGCTTTCACGCTCTCTCCTGTTGAATACACCAATTTGTCTCCTATATCTGTTCCGAGTCGTCTTTTTGTTCATATCTATTTGAAGCCATTTCTTTCTTGCCTTCGATGTTTCTCCGCTTTTGATTTATGTTTTAAGCAGTCTGGTGTGCGGGTGGATAGTGACGTGGTGGCGGACGGAAAGAAACTAGGTTGAGAGTCTCCTGTCTTATATCCCACCAGTGGGAGAACGCTGTTGATGTTGATTCAGCTGTAACCTTAAATAATGACGCTGATGTCGCTGCCATGACATGTCGATCTCGGCGTGCGAACGGTGTGTAAATAATAAACTTGATATTGTTTCTCTCCTGTGCTGCTGTTGGTACTCTTTTTATTCGAGGTTCTTAGTTTCTTGGTATTTGCAAAGAGAACATAACCTAGTCTGTCTGTGTGTGAGAGCAAAAAAGAGAGAAAGAGAGAGACAATGTCAGTCAAGGTGCCATATGAGTCGGTACAGTACCAGTCGCACCATCACTGCCAGTGTGACTTCTGTAACAGCCGCCGCACAGTAAACGCAAAGAAGTTTGGCGTCAGCAGCACCGTTGCGCAGCTTCAGGCGCTGCAGCGCAAAAACAACTGCTGTTGCTCCTGCCATGAGGTGCTGGCTTCACGCTCCCTTGGCGACAAGGCGGCGCCGTCGTTTGAGCTCGATGACCCTGAACACCACGTGAACCAGACGGCGCTCAACACCAAGATGGGTCGCACTGGCATCCCCGGCGGAGACAAGTACACCATCACGTCAGGCGGCCCCGCCGGCGGCAGCAAATGCGGCTCCAAGATGATGACGCGTGAGGAGCAGGAGAAGGAGGCGATGGACGACCTCGACCGTCTTGAGCGGCTGCTCATCCTCGAGCACAAGGCGCGGGTGAAGGCGACGACAGAGGCAGAGAGGCTTAACCACCTGCGGTCGACTGGCAAAGGGCTGCGCCCGCAGCCCTTTGACGCGTGTGCTGAAAGGACAGAGAATAATGGCGCGCCGCTGCAGCAGCTGGATGCTGCGCAGGCGAGCACCATTCGCGAGGCGTATGATCGTGCCCAGCGCTGCTCTGTCACACCCCCGCCGCACTGCGAGGCGTCCCACCGCCTGCAGCACACTATTGACGATGTGCGCGCGGTGGCGCGTGACCCCATCAATCGCAACAATGCCGCGGCACTGCAGCAAGTGCTGTATCGCGAGGGAGTGCCGGGCGCCACGCCGACGCCATCAGAGACATGTGATGCCCTCAACGGCGTCACCGGCACGACGGTTGGCAAGAGGGTCAACTACTCTGGGCCGCGCCCTGAGGGTGCTGGCGTTGTGTGGCGCAAGTTTCAACCAAGCATCCAGGAGAGTCCTGCAACAGCAGCCGGCGGTCTTGGCAACGTTGATAACCGTGACCTCTGGAAAAGTACGGTAGTGAAGGGGGGCAGCACGGTGAAACAGCAGAATGGCACTGTTGCCGTAACAAATGGCGGGACTGCGGCGGCGCCCATGGAGAAGTCCTCGCCGGGCGCGGAAGCGGCGATGAAGGTGCAGCAGCAGGGACGGCAGAGTGAGGTTGACACGCCTCTGCCAACTGTTCGTTGTGCTGAAGAAACTCGGATTTAAGCGCACAGAACGCTGTGGTCAAGTCGTCTTCCTGATGTTACGCAGAGACGGGTGAGGCGTGCTCTTTTTTTTTTTT